TTAAAAGAAGTCATATTTATAAATATAAAAAGTTTATACTACAAAAAAAAATATTTGAATAAAAGTAAAAAATGTTAAAGAAAAATTTATTAAGAAAATAAATTATATATAATATGCAAAACAAAAATTTATTAAGAAAATAAATTATATATAATATACATACATACATATATTTATGTATATATTTGTTAATAAAATTACGAAACGGTTTCATATGATTAATTAGCAAAAAATTTTGCAAAATAAGTATTAAAAGCTATTGGTTTTATTAAATGAAAAAATCATTAAAAAATAAAAAATAATTATTTGAGTCTTTTAAGAAAGTGTCGATTCGCCAAAGAAAAGATTTTCCTTAAAAATTCAAAAACAATACTTTATTTCGTCATACATATTAATTTGTGCTTAAAAACTATTCAACTACTTCTTTTTCTAAACTCTATTGTGGATTACTCATTTGGATTACACGCCTAGAATGCGCAACAATATAAAATTTGAAAAAGGTACATTTTTCCCTTTTGTTTTCTATTGGTTTCGTTATATTAAAATTTGTTTTTTTAAAACGTTAAAACGTATTTTCAACGTAGAATGTTTTATATTTTATGAACCGAGTGTTTCATATCTTATGAAAAAACGTCATTTGTCTTGCATGTCGTACAATAATTTTCTCATGCGTTCCGCAATACTCCAAAGTACGCATCAGAAATCCTGTATGGAGAAATGTCGCCTTTCTTTAGCAAAGAGCTTTTATTCGAACTTCAGAGTTCACTCAATCCCCGGTTTCTGGGATACGGCAACGTAGCGATCTCGTGCTTCGGTAAGAGCTGTTAAAAAACTTATGTAATTTCGAGACACAGTTCCCTGCCACTCATTTCATGTGCAATGCATTCGCAAAAATCGCTACTTGTCGACCCTCAGCGTTCCAATTACGATCTTTCGATTATAAAATATAAGTTTCCAAAATGAACGTGCATTTACAGTGATCAACCGATTTTTATACCGTCGCATATAGAAAATTCTGACGTCTAAAAGAGCACAACAATGCACTTTCTGCAGAGAAAAGAGGAGTATATCCATCGGAAAACGTGTTTTTTCTTTTAAAAGCGAATTTTTTTTCTCCTTAATCATGCACTATAGAAGTTTACCAACTAGACTAGTAGTGGTTCTGCTGGTGAAAACGATATCATGGTAGCTATATCGATATTTGCTGTCCAGTGTACCATCGAAAGATCTGTGGGAAAGATAGAGACGTCATTAATACTTGATTGTGTAGTAAATCGAAGTCATTGCAACGATACTTTGCCTTTGCACATAGGTTTCATAAAATTCTGACATGAAAAGAGTGGATAACGAATGGAGGCGTGGGTAATATTGATCGATGAGAAAGTCTCGTTGGAATTTTCATAGCGCCGTTATTTACCTAAAATCGCGTGAAGATTAAATGTAAAATCATTAGAAGAAAGGTTTTGCCTTTTTCATAGGGAAAGAAAATGGTCTCACTTTGAGTAGATACGAAAGAGTTCACGTAAAACCCTTTGTTTATTCTCTGAAACCTCTTATCTTTAATTATTTTCAAATAAATGTTTAGGCTTTTGTTTAAGCTTATAAACATACGAAAGTGAATATTTTTACAATGATTATTTTTGAAATTCTTTTCGAAATAATGACTTTTTTTTGAAAGAAGACAAGCATTGTAAGCAATCAACTGTCAACAAAACTATACAAACTTCTTCAATTTTTCTCTCCTAAGAGTGTTTTCCCACCTCCAAACCTTCCTCTTTTACTCATCGATATGTAATACCGATGTATAAATGTTCATATGTACGCAAAGTTATTTTCTCAAAAATTTCTCGCATTCCTGTTTCGTTCTTTTCACTTTGACATATAGAGCTAAACGTTCTCCTTATTCACATGAAACTCGATTTTCTTATCCCGATATTCTTCTTTCCAGTGGTCAAACATCGCCCATTAATTGTGTCTTGTTTATACTATCCAATTTTAAATATTCACTCTTGGCATTAAAGTAGATCATATGCTCTATTTATTCGTTTGTAGCGGTTTCAAAAAATTCGTAAAATAAAGTATTACCGGTAAGCGTTTCAGTCTAGTTCAAAGCTTAGAAGAGACACATGCCCCCATTAAGTTTTAAAGGTTTTGGTTCGTTCAGAATAGTTAACAACTACAATCACAATCAAGATAACTGCTTGAAATTTAAAAAGCAAAAGACGCAATCTCTTCGCGGATGTATGTCTGATTAGCGGCATTGAATAGTCGCAAAATGTGGGATATCGACTTTGGATTGCAAAACCATTGGAAATTCTTGATATAGAAAATAGACAAAGCCGATCAAAGAACACGCCTACAGTTCATAAGTTACAAAAAATAGGGAATTGTATAGTGTCTATAAAAGAATAGAAAAGTGCAGTCAGGTAAAGTTTGAAATTTCATTGTTTTAGTTTTTGAAATAAAAATGGTGAGTGTAAAATTTTCGGCCATTGCCAAATGTTATTTTCTCATTTGTTTTCTTGTGATTATTGTTATTGTAGACTTTCTGTTATTACTGTTTTCTATTTCTGTTTATTTAATTCTTATTTTTTGTAAATAGTTTTCGTCCCTATATATATGATTTGGTGGGATATTCTAAATGTGTTTACTATTTTATTGATTAAAAAGAAAGGGTCTCGTGGTTTTATGTCGACGTCACTTGGTTCTTAAATGAAAAAGAATTCAATTAGTTTCGGTTCAAACAATAGATAGCTGAGAAAAACGTACTTCCTTCCTCAAGCAGGCCCATATCATCCAAAAACCTGTAATCTATAGACAGATACGATATTATATTTTGCCATTGTTCCATCAGAAGTTCATCTCATATCGGTATGTAAGTAAACTATTTTTTTTATTTGTAAATTTTGACTTTATCCTTGAAGATAGTCTTCTCGACAGAAGTTTCTCAAGTATTTCATTCTCTTTTTTTATGAAACGATTTATCAGCAACTTGAAAATTCGCTTCAGTTTCTGCTCTCATTCTCTCATCCAAATCTATTTAGTAGTAGTAGTAGCAGATAACAGGCGACGTGGGCAAGATCTGAAGAACATGCCACGTACGGCAGAAATTCATACTTCTGTTCAAGTAAAATTTCCAGTTCTTTGAATCACTGTGGGTCAGGACGTTATTCTAATCTGGAAAGTGTCCAAATTTGCGTTTTGCACAATGCAAATGTGCGAGAGGATGATTTCTGACTACCAGTTGGTCATGAAACGCTTTATTAGGGGAAATGCGACTTGGATCTCCCTCGATTACCTTAGTGGTGTGCACAATGAATTCCTTTCGCCGAGCGAAACTGTTAACAACAAATATTATTGAAGTTTGAGAATTACTTTCAAGGCGGCGGAATAGATTTTGAATAATAAATAGTTTTAAAAAAGGAAAAAAAAATTGGTATTCCTTTTTGGAAAGAGTAGAATATTTGCAATTACATAATGGTTGCGGTTGCAAAATATCTCTAGTCAGATTTCGGATATTACGAGTAATTTTAAAATAAGTTGATTGTCAATTTTTGCAACTCACTGGAATTTTAAGCTCTCGTTAATGCGTTAATAGTGTATCTTGTTCGACTGCAACGATTTAAATGATTTTGTTTAAACAATACATTCACGATGTAGAATTTATTGGATATGTGTGCGATAATGGATTACTTTTGCTCAATTTAATATTACTGTATTATATAACATTGAAAGATGGGTGACATAATATTCCATGGGCGCTAGGTTATCAAGTTTATGGAATGAGGTCGAAATACTTTGCGAATGCAACCGCAATAACCGAAGAACTAAACGGGGATTTGGAGTTCTTATGAGGTGGTACTGTATGTTTTACCTACGTATAATGTTCGGTTGTTACATCTTACATCGTTAAAACTTAATAGTTCTCTACCGTCAAGCTACAGTAAAAACCTTCTTAATATGTTGTTAATTAAAAAATTTGCCTAACATTTTTGTAAATTTTTCATTGCTAGTGTTATTGCTTTGATTCACTTTTGACATTATTAAGTATTAAAAAAATTTGCTGTTATTTCGTACGTTTCATTTGTATTCTACGTATGTATGTATTTTTATTAATTTCGGGGAATGTATGACCTTGGAAAAGCTTTATCTAAGTATTGAGTGCAATCAACTTTTTATAGTATGTTGTTAAATAAAATATAAAAAACAAGGCGGCAACGGTGCATTAACAGCAAACCCGAAATTCTCATTCGATATCATCAACAACCAGCACACTTCTCTTATCAACAAAAACTCTCTCTTTTTCTCTCTTCTTAAAACACGTAATAAAAACGTTTAAAGTTTTTCTGTTGACTTTCTCCGATTTTATGCCTTTTTTCACCACTATTATTATTATTATTTTTTTTTTGTTCCAACAATTATTTATTTATTTTTAATTTTTTAATGCTTTTATGGTGCTATTGCCCCCTACTTGACAATGTAACTAATTTTTTGCGTTTTAAAAACAAGGATCGATTCAGTGTACAGTATTCCAATAGTTGAATTCGTATCTTTAATTTCTATTTTGCTTGTTGACAAAAACTAAAGAAAAGGTTGAATAATTCCGATATTTCTAAACTTCTTATTTTTGTATAACCCAATGCAAGTTGTTTTATTTCATAACGTATGTAATAACCTATGTAATAATATACGTTACACCCAAAAGGAAGCTTCAGATACTCTATAAACTACATATATTCTTGATCAGCGTGAAATTCTGATTTGATTTAGTCATGTCTGTCCGTCTGTGTACCTGTGTGGACTGCGTTGTTGGCAATATCCTGGCCGCAAAAATGAAGACATCGCCTTCAAATTTGGTAGAAACATCGGAAGTTTAGTATAGAAAATGGGCCAAATTGATCAGAACTGAAGCGCCTAGTGGCACATAAACTGAACGCCACTCCATTTTTCTTAGCACAGGGTTTTTACTCGTTACTCAATAGTTGGAAAAGTTAGAAGGCTTTTCACATTTACTTTACGAGGGATTCTGCCCTTTACGCGCAAAAATCGAAAAAATCGCCCATGCCCACACAATGTTACAAGTGGCTAAATTATTATTGTTTCACATTTTTGGGGTTTTACGTTTATTTATCATAAAGCAAACTAGACAGAATGTTTAAAACTATTTCGCACATTCCTCAAATGAAGATATATTATCTGCCTAAAAATCGGCCAATTCTAAAATGAATATGCGACCTGGTGCGTTACTCTAACAGAGCCACCCACATCGACACCGAATCGGAATATTCATGATCATAAACCTTTGCTGTGTATATGGTGACATTAGCAAGTTGTAGTCTATTACGAGCTGCTAAAACCAATTGAAGCCATTACTGCAAGTATATCGTTGTAAGAAAGACCAGCAATAGCGGTTAAACGACGCAAAACTATCCCCTTGCAAGACAACGCTCGGCGATACGTTGCAAGAGCTGTCAAGAACACTCTTTTGGGGCTCGAATGG